TTAAGTTTTCGCGGGTACTTACATGTATGATATTCAGCTTTGGGTATTTTCTCACGTCATTATTCAATATTCAATATTTACATACATGGTGTGTTGTGAGTTAATTTTGTGAGTTTGCTTGCTAGCAAATTTTATGTGACAGACTGAACTAGCCAATGGCAGATAGATAGATCTCTGAATGAATCTGTGATTCTATGAGCAACTCATTCTGCTTGCTTTGCCTGATTTTGGGTGAAAGTTGCTCTTTTTTAATAAAAAATTCAATATTTATATAAATATTTATAATATTTACTTACAAGCCATGCCCAGCCAGTCACATGACCACCAAGGCACACCCACAAATTAGGCCACGCCCACAGAACCGTTTAGTGGTCCCTGGAATTTAAAATTATAAGTTTGGTGGTCCCTCAGGTCCAAAAGGTTGGCAACCCCTGGACTAGATGACCTCTGAGATCCCTTCCAACTCTTGTCATTCTGTAAAGGTGGCCTGTTTGAGTTGGGGGTTGGACTAGATGATCTCCCGTGTCCCTTCCATCGCTGTTGGTTTATGATTCTGGAAAGGTCTGCTTGAGCAGGGGGTTGGACTGGGTGACCTTTGAGGTCCCTTCCAACCATGCCATTCTATGATTTTGTAAGGGTCTCCTGCTGGAGCAGGGGGTTGGACTAGAAGACCTCCAAGATCCCTTCCAATGCTGTCATTCTATGATTCTATATATTGCGTTTTTTCCCTTCTGGACGCCTCTTCGATTGTGCAGCCTCTGGTGAAATGCCCAGGACAGGAATGAGTGTCAAGTGGGTAGCACAAAAGAAAACCCACAGCACAACACAATTTGGGCTTTAAGAGGGGCGGGGGCAGATGGGGGGTTATAAACAGGAAATCTCCACCTGTTCCGATGCATTTTTCAATCAACAAAAAAATGGGAATTAAAAAGTAGAATTTTTTCTCCTGGCTTCCAAGAGGAGTATATAATAGATAAGGAGAATAATAACACAAAAATAATAACACAAAAAGATATAAAATTTTATTTATTTATTTATTTAGATAGATAGTATATTTTGTATAAACAATATATATCCAAATACTGTATATGTGAAATATATAAATACCTTTATACATGAATATATAGAATAGAATGCAGAATAGAATTAGAATAGAATAGAGAAAGAAAAAATAGAATAAAACAGAATATAGAATAGAGTAGAAGAATAAAACAATGTAGAATAGAATAGAGAAAGAATAAAACAGAATATAGAATAGAATAAAGAATAAAATAGATTAAAACTACAGAATAGAATGCAGAATAGAATTAGAAGATGGAATAGAATAGAATTAGAAATAGAACTATTCCTAATTCTAATTTCTATTCCATATTCTATTCTAATTCTATTCTGCATTCTATTCTGTATTCAATATATACGTGTGTGTGTGTGTGTGTATTATATATTCATTCTCATTCATTCTTGGGTGGGTGGGTGTGTCCAGCCATCTTAAAGTGTGTATGTGTTGTGTGTGTGTATAAATACAAAACACACACACACATAAGCTTTAAGATGGCTGGACTTCAACTCCCAGAATTCCATAGCCAGCATCCTTTAAGAGGGGAGGGGCTAAAGTTAGAATGGAGTTCCCTGCAATCTGATTTTGAAGCCCCCCTTCCCCCCCCCCCCCGTCTTTCTTTCCCTTCCTCTCTCTGTCCTCCTCTCTTTTTTTTCTCTTTCATACCCTCTTCAGCCTGTAAGAAGGGAGGACTTCAGTCCCCAGAATTCCCCAATGCAGCCACGATTTCAGCTCTGCAACCAAGAAATCCCTCCTCCTTAGTCCTCCTTTTGACCATTATTCCTCATTTGAATTCCTTGGAAATCATTCCAAGCGGCTGGACCTCTTGAAACGAAGAAACAGCTAGTCCTTGACTTATGACCGCAGTTGACCCCCCCCCCCCCCCACCCCCAAATTTCCTTTGCTAACCCAGACCGTTGCAAAGCGAGCCTTGGCCCTGTTTCCCAACCTTTCTTACCAGGGAAAATCCCTGCCGTTCGTGACATGATCGTTAAGTGAATCGGCCTTCCTGCTGGTCAGGAGGTCACAAAAAGTGGAATCGCCTGATGCCCGGGGTGGGGCCTGAGACCGTCATGTAAACACGAGCTAGAACTCTTTATCCCGTGACCATAGGGCTGTTGCAACGGCTGTAAGTGGGAATAACTGCCTTTTTTTTAGTTCTGGCTTCAAATAGTCACTAAACGAATTACCATAAGTTGAGGAGTGGCTGTCTGCAACAGCACAAGAGCGACCTCGAAGCAAGACTGCTTTTGAAAAATCATTTGCTTGACTTTCTTTTTATTATTTTGTGATTTGTTTTATTTTATTTTATTTGTAGGCAGAATTGGAGTGTTTTGAAAAAGAAAAAAAAACCTCCAAAGCTTTTTTCAGCTTTTCGCACGCACGCCGGCTTGGTGCCTGCATGGTGACCCAATGGCATCCCGCAAAGGATCGGCCACCAGCCCCACAAGCAGCACACCCGTCAGCAATAGCCGAGACCGGGAAGATGTCGAACTGGCTGAGCTCGGTCCCCTCTTAGAGGAGAAAGCCAAGCCGGGAACGTCCCGTTCAGCCGACGTAAGTACGGATTTCCGCTACTGCGGAGGTGGGAAAAATCAAGCCCTTAAAGGAGGAATGGAACAGAACAGAACAAGGACAGGACAGGACAGGACAGAATAGAATAGAATTCTATTTATTTTATTGGCCAAGTGTGACTGGACACACAAGGAATTTGTCTTGGTGCAAATGCTCTCAGTGTCCATAAAAGAAAAGATAACGTTCGTCAAGAGTCAAGAATCATCAGGTCCAACACTTAATAATAGTCATAGGGTATAATAAGCAATCCAATCATACTAGGAAACAGTCAATATGAATCGTAAGGATACAAGCGACAAAGTCATACAGTCACAAGTGGGAGGGGATGGGTGATAAGGAGTGACTAGAAGATTAATAGTAATAGTGCAGCTGCTGAATAAAAGCTACTGGAAATTAAAGAACAAGAAGATAACAACATTATATGATACGGCATGTATTTTATAAATGGTTGGAAAACAAAATTGAATGAATATAAGATAAGAGGTAATGAGAATATTCCAATGATAAGAGAAAAAAGAAAGAAATTTTTAATATGAATGTAACTTTAATGATATTATAACATGAAATGTATATCAAATATGAATATGTGCACAAGATATATGTACCCAGTTAACACACTGTTGAACTGAAAGATGGTCATTTTGTAAAAGTAAATTTTAAAAATTTTAATTAAAAAAAAAGTAAGCTACTGGACCGCAAACTTCCAGCCCAATGGAAGTTTGCAGGAGATGAAAGATGGGAGGAGCCTTGGGATTTGTCATTGGGGTGGAGGAAAGAAACCACTTACGTTGAGTGGTGACATTGATTTGGGTTATTGGTTTAAAAATGTAGATTTATTCCATTTAGAAGTATGAATTTAGAGGAAGGGAAAGAGAAAGGGGAAAGGAAAAAGAAAAAAAGTGAAAGGAAAGGAAAAGAAAGGAAGAAAAGGAAAAAGGGGACGGGAAGGGAAGGGGAAGGAAAGGAAAAGAAAGGAAGAAAAGGAAAAAAGGGAAGGG